GTGTGACCCCACCAACGGATTGCTCTCCGAACGAGGAATCCATCGGTGGGGTCACACGGTCGGTTCGAGTCCTGCTTAGCGACTCTGGAGCTCAAAACGCGTCTGGAGTTTTGGCCGCCTCCACCGGTCTTCTGGCCCACTGTGCGGCGTGAGCTCTGTTCGGAATCAGCGTCCAAGCCAGCCGTCGAGCGGTGGCGCAACTGCCACGCATACGTACCCTCACTTCCATCTTTCGATTCACCTGACAATCCGGGTTCGTCTTGAATTTTACTTACAGCCCGCAAAACAAGAGCCTGACTTCAGCTGCCACGAGGTTTACCCTACCGGTGACCGCGCGGAAGGCTGGCTGGAGGCTGCTGAACTTTCGGCTGCACTTTGGCTGCACTTTGGCTGCACTTTGGCTGCACTTTGGCTGCACTTTGCACTTTGGCTGCACTTTGGCTGCACTTTGGCTGCACTTTGGCTGCACTTTGGCTGCACTTTGCACTTTGGCTGCACTTTGGCTGCACTTTGGCTGCACTTTGCACTTTGGCTGCACTTTGGCTGCACTTTGGCTGCACTTTGTGCGTGCCTCCTTTGAGTGCGCGCGAACTTCGCACCTCGCGCCGTCTTTACTTCCGCTGGCTCCACTTTGGCCGCCAAAACTCCAAAAGTACCGCCGTCTCTCTCGCACTGAAGGGGCGTGCCGCGGGAGTGCGAGAGAGACGGAGCGATACTGCCTGCAGCGCGCTCCACGGGCGGCGCGTGGCGCGGCGCAGCCGGATCATCATAATTCTGGGCGTTGTGCGTTGCGTGCCCCGCTGCTCCGCTTCGAGGTATCGAAGTCGCGGTCCATTCGATCGATTACTCTCCCGATTAATCACCGGCGGCTGGACCGGGCGGGCGGTGCGGCGTCACGCCTCGACACGCAGAGCACCCGGCTCCACTGCCTCACCCCGGCACGGGGCCCTGCCACCTGCACTGTCAACAGTCTAACCTCGTGACTGCGGTGGAAAGGGAAAGGCTGAAGGCTGGCTGCGGACGAGTCTGGAGACTTGAGCGCGGGGGAGCACAAAAGAGAGGGACACAGTAGTTTTAACGGAAAATCCCCTGCCCCTATCCCCCCTAGCTTGGGACACCATGTGACATGAGACATGACTCCGTGCCCAGTGCAGGATCCAGGATCCAGCCTAGCCCTGCCCGGGCCAGAGTCAACACTGCCTGTTTGGCCAGGCCAGGACGGGGCAGGGCAGCGCAGGCAGGGTGGGTGGGCGCGCCTGCATGGGAACAGCGCATCCCCGTCGCAGCAGCGTAGCGCGGCAGCGGTGGCAGTTCGGAGGACACATTTTCCTCGCATCGTTTCCAAAAGCCTCGTCCTGCCCCGCTGCCCGGTGTTCCCAGGACGCCCAGGACACTGCAAAGGCCTTGGGCAAGGCGACGTGTTTGCGTTCCCCGAATTCCTTTCTCGGGACGTGTTTGTCGTCTTGTCCAAGGCGTGTTGATTGAGATTTTTTGGGGTGCTGATGGGCCGGACCGGAGGGCCACTGCAGGGCCCCTTCGTCCTCCTCGTCGTCATGAGGCGTAATTAAGGTGGAAAAGGGATGTTGGCCGTGTACCAGTGTAGGGACGAAGCAAACACAGTGCCGTTGACGACAGATTGGAAGCACCTCCGCTTGTTCATGTGTACCCAGTCGGAAAAATAAAGAAGAAACCTTGATAAAGTTTGCATATTTCTTTTCTCATACGGTTCTAGAACGACGTCGCCGCGTTCCTGATGCCTATCCTCATTTTCAAACCGACCTGGTCCATCCGGGTCCATCTCCTCGCTCTCCTTTAGGGGAATCGAAGTTTTGAGCACAGACGAAAATCGACCGGGGAAGTCAGCGGTGCGTCCGGAGATGCGATCGCTGCACGCCCCTCCCTCTCACACCTCCGCGGCGCTGCAGCAGCTGGAGCAGGGCGTCGTCCTGGTGGCGTCCCAGCGTCCTGGCGCGGCCACTCGACGGCGAGGGCCAGGACGTGTCGGCGCAAAGGGCCTCGCCGGGCATCGCCGTTGATGGCGCGCGATAACATTATGCTCCTCCGATTGTTTTATGGGGAAAATTAAATAGAGATGATTGCGCACCTCGCCGCTCGCCCCCCTCGAGTGCGCGGGCCCGTCCCTGCCCACGCGCCCGCGAGCGCGCCCGCGCACCCCCCCCCCCCCCCCACACACACGCTCGCCAGGTCCGATGTGCCGGTTCTACCTGTGCTAGGTCCGTCTGTCTGTCTGTCTGTCTGTCTGTCTGTCTGTCTGTCTGTCTGTCTGTCTGTCTGTCTGTCTGTCTGTCTGTCCGTCCGTGCGTCCGTGCGACGCTGCGCTGCGCCGGGCCCCGGGGCCCGGTCGGCCGGCGGTGCGGTCTGCCCACGCACTTGCCGGGCCGGGGCCTGGCCGGGGCGCGCAGCGAGTGCAAGAGAGACACTCCCGAGGTAGAGCCCTAGAGTAGTGGGAGAAACGCGACCCGCGTCGCGGCACCTGATTGGTGCGGCCATTTTGACTATTATGCGCAGTAGTGTTCTGCGCCGGTCGCGTCGTCTGCTTCAGCGGCTGCGCGCGCTGCGCGCTCCCCGTCGGTCAGCGCTGGTCAGCGACCGTAACTAGCTGGCAAACTATTCCACAGCAAATTTCATCTACCCTCCTTTTAAGCCACAGTGGGCTTTTCTCATAAATATGAAGGTTACTGTAAAGTGAAAAGATGTGAAATATCACTTTTCAAAATAATTGTGGCATCATGATTGTCTTTTTGGTTTCTTGTTGCTATCCATAAGATTAGCATAAGCCCAAAGTTAAAGCACCCAACTCTCATTAGTTTCTGAGTAATTGAAGTTTACGTAACAAATTTAGTCGTTGGCTCAAATTCTCCTTGCAAAGAACCAAAAGTTGTCGAGACCTCAAATTGTATTTACAAAATAATTGTGGCATCATGATTGTCTTTTTCTTTTTTAGTTGCTATCCAGAAGATTAGCTTAAGCCCCAAGTTAAAGCACTCAACTCCCATAAGTTTCTGAGTAATTGAAGTTTACGTAACCAATTTAGCCGTTGGCTCAAATTCTCCTTGCAAGGAACCAAAAGTTGTCGAGACCTCAAACTGTTTTTTCAAGTTCTAGATTGACTTGCCTGTCCTGTGGCAAAGACGGATTTCCAAATTTCCATAATTAAACATTGGTTTTTCTCAAACCAAAAATAGTGAAAAAAGAAAAAAAGTATCTTCGAAAACAGTTTGTGATTTGAGAAAATGGCTAGTTATTTGAAATATCTCTCTATAATATTTTTACATGGACCTCAAAGAACTATCCCAAAAAATTTGGCCAGAATAAAACAAAAATGAATGCGTGGCCTGTTGACGGAGTGGGAAAAAAAATTCTTCAACATTCATCGTAAGAGTTGAGTGACCAGCACAGGCACATATAAATGTATCAGTTCATGTTCCATAAGTCGCTCACATAAGGGTTCAGGTAACAAAGACTCTAAGAACGTAAAGCAGTAGTAAATAGAGGGAATTAAATTCATCTTTATAGTCAATTTCGGTACATACAAAGTTTCACCCACACCTCAATTCCACCTTAACGTGTCAAGAGATTATTAACATCTCTATTCAGGATTAAAATTATGCATTATTAAGTTTAACTTTTGCCTATCAATTTTGATGATAACCAAAAGTCATATTTTACATCTTACTTCAGGTCATTATGTTCAGAGCTGGAAACAATGTGATGAACTCAGGGTTTTCTTGCAACCACTTATTTTTTTTTTCTAAACTAGTTTAAAATCTCCTGTAAAAACAGACAACTTTTTTAATAAAAGTATTTGCTTGTAAACAAACGCCTCGTTGCAGACACAACCAGCGACGGCCATTTTGACTATGTATGAGAAATTGTCCAGACAGCATCCGCCCGAAAGAGCCTAAATTATGAGAAATCCAGCGGAGCATTTCAGCAGTTCGCGTTTCTCCCCCTCTCTAGGGCTCTATCCCGAGGCAGTGTGCCAGCCGCAGCCAGCCGCCGCCTCCCGGTCCAGAGCTCCTCTTGAGATGTGGCCAGGCCGCCGGGCCGCAGTGCTCCGTCCTCCACAGTCGGCAGTGTGACGGGCGCGTGTGCGTGCGCGCCGAGCCGTGCCCTCGTGCTGCGCTAGCTTCGCTTCTGGACGTCGACGCGTCGCGAGTGCAGTGCAGTGTCCGAGAGGTTGCTTATGTGTTGCTTGACCGGCAAGCCAGTGTGTCGATTGGCAGAGTGCAGTGACAACCGAAACAAAGTGTGTGTTTGTGCAGTGTTGTTGAAAGTGCGTGGCAACATGACCCGGCCGTCTTGACGACTGCGCCGCCATGCGGTTCGCGATGAGGTCGAGGGCCGTCCTGGCCGCGCTGGCCGTGGTTCTGCTGGCGGCCTGCGTCGCCGAGGCCGCGCGCGGCGACCACGACTACGAGGAGATGTTCACGACGGAGGCGCCCACGACGACCACGACCACGCTGTCGCCGCTGATGCGGCTGTACGAGGAGCGGCGGCTGCGCGAGCGGCGCCAGGGCCTGCAGGGGCTGGGCCGGTACTGGCGGCGGCGGCACGCGCTGAGCCGCCGCGGACAGGCGTCGCTGCGGTGCGCGGACGGCGAGAGCCAGGACATGCTGCGGCTGGCGCCCAGCGGCACCACCGAGGCCCTGCAATCCCTGCTGCTGGCCCCGGGGGAGGTCGGCGCCGGCGCCCTGCTGGAGCACGCGCGCAAGGCCGAGCTGGTGTTCACCGGCAAGGTGGTGGGGCGCGGCGGCGTGCGCGGCCGCAGGGCCGTCGGCAACGCGACGCGGCGCGGCCGGCAGACGCAGGACTTGCTGCCGCGCGGCGCCGTGCTCTGGGTGCGCGTCAAGCGCATGCTCAAGGGGGACCTCGCCGACGCCTCCCTCGTGCACCTCCAGACCGCGGCCTCCCCCGACGGCGCCGCGCGCCCCGCCACGGGGTGCCCGCCGCTGCTGCGCCTGCACCACACCGCCATCTTCCTGGCCAACAAGCCCAAGCCCGGCTGGGCGCGCGAGCTCGCCGAGGAGGCCAACACCGTGTCGGACTACGACGAGCGCGCGCCGCACCTGCAGATGGCCGCCGATCCGTTCCCGCTGACGCTCAGGAACCTGCAGATCTCCGCCAGAGCAGCGAAAGGTAAGGACTCAAGTTTCCAAGTTCCCTAATTTAGCTGCAAAAGTTGAAGCAAAAGCGACTACAATACTGGCGTGTGAGTGTGACGGCCGGGCCCCAAATCTTATTCCTGTGCAAACACAAACACGCACGCACACACGAACACACCCACGCACGCTCACACGCACGCGCAGCGGCCTGTCAGTCCGTCGCACCTTGGCGTATGTAAAACAGCGCGGAATAGGAAGGGAAAACACGCATGAATGTGTGAGTATGTGACGGGCGACGCCTCGACGACGTACGACGCGAGGTGTCCATAAATATCTGCAACAAAAGGCATCCCCAGAGGCCCAGAGGTCAGCAGGGCGCTGGCCTGCATGTCGGCGCGCGGCAGCGCCCAGCCACCGCGGCAGCAGCACACAGTGGGCCAGGAGAACGGCGCCGACGGCCGAAACCCCAAATGCGTTTTGATCTTCAGGTCGCTAAGCAGAACTTGAACCGAGCTTGTGACCCCACCAATGGATTCCTCGTTCGGAGAGCAATTCATCGGTGGGGTCACACGTTCGGTTCGAGCCCTATTTAGCGACTATGGAGCTCAAAACGCGTCCGGGACTTTGGCCGCCTCCACCGGTCTTCAGGCCCACTGCGCGGCAGCAGTACCACCTGCCAAAATTGCGGGCTGCTGCTTCTGCCGTACTCCGGGGCGGCCCCGCTTGCAGTTCCGCCCCTCGGCCCCGCCAGGGCATACGTGATTCATAGCGAGTTTTTTGTTGGTTTTCGGGTGCCGGCGGTGCCGCGCGGTAGGTCACCCCTCCCGGGGCCTCCGTTGGCCTGCCGTTGGCCCCCGAGGCCCACTTTGTCACGGTTTGTGTTTCACAACGCGGGCATTCCAGCGCATGTTATTGGTGAGGTGCAGCTCGCCACGGCGGGGCTGCCGGCCGACCTGCCGGCCCCGCCGGCCGCGCTGGCCCCAGCCGCCGCAGCCCGTCCGCCCACGTGGGTTCCGGAGCGCGGCCGCGGGGACGCCGGGGACGGCGGGGAGGCACATCGAGCGAGCCAGCGCCAGAATCGCCTTGTGGAGCCCGCGCCTGCAGCTCCGAACAGTGCCCTCGTCGTTCTGTCTCTCTCGCTCCCCTGCGCGACGCCGCGCGAGTGCGAGAGAGACAGCGACGAGAGCCTTTGCCGGCCTTTGCCTGCTTTTCCCGTCGCGTCCGACGGTGATACATGACACCGCGGGAACATCCCCCCCCCCACCTAATGAGCCATTTCAGCAGCACGCTTTGCGTGCGCGCGCCGGCCACCTCTCCTTCTTCTTCTTTGGCATGGTGCTCTTCTTCTCCACTCCTTGACGATGTTTGCATGGGCCGAGTGTTGGCAAGCGCGCGCAGATATCTATCGTTTTCCTTCTTCGTGAATCGCTGTACCAGGCTGAATAATTAAACCCTCGCCCACACACACACACTCTCTCTCGCTCTCATACGCGAGCGCGCGCGCTCACACACACACACACACACACACACACACACACACACACACACACACACACACACACACACACACAGACGCGATAGGATCGCCTTTTGATGCCGTCGCCACCACGCGCCATGTGGCGCCGCTGAGGTCCTCCGGGGCGACTCCGAACGCTCGCTCCGTCTCTCTCGCACTCCTCCGAGGCGCCCCGCGAGTGCGAGAGAGACGGAGGGGCCCGGCAAGTCTGGCTGGGGCCGCCTGGCTTTTCGACTAATCTGCGCCTCGGTAATTATTCCCTCTCGATGGGAAAGGCGATGGGTGCGCGGCGCCTGAATAAAAGGCAAGAAAAGGGGCGGCCGCCCAGACCGGGCTGGCGACAGCGCGGCGGCGCGGCAGCTGGCACTCCGTGGTTACGCTGTGACCGGCTTAGCGTTGACAGTGTGGGAGGAGGGCCCGGACCGCCGCGGCGCACTCTCCGTTCCGATATCTAGCGCTGGACGGACTAGGCCGGCAGCGGCCGGCAGCGGCGGATCCAGAGCCGGCCTGAGGGGGCAGCACCCTCTGAGAGAAGTGTGGCTTTTTGTCATCCTTTCAGGCGACTTCCTAGAGGCCAAGTTCAATTGTCCTTTCGCCTCCCGTCTCTGGATCCACCCCTGGAGACCGGCAACCGCTGTTCTTCTGGAACCTCTCCTGTCGAAGTGCCTTCGAGATCTCTCTGACGTCCGCACGACCGGCAACCGCTACCCTTCTGGAACCTCTCCTCTCGAAGTGTCTTCGAGATCTCTCTGACGTCCGCACGACCGGCAACCGCCACCCTTCTGGAACCTCTCCTCTCGAAGTGTCTTCGAGATCTCTCTGACGTCCGCACACGGCCGCACGTTCTCTGGTGGTTGTTGTTGTTGGCGGTACCGCTGCGGTGCCTGCCGGCAGTGCTGGCGAGCCACGGCGAGCCATGCCTGTCCTCCCACGAGGAAGGTAACACCGCCGCAGTGCCTGGCGGGGCGGGGCGGGGCGGGGCGGGGCGCGGCCCCACGTGGGCGTCCACCAGTCCTCCGACACGTGCAACTCTAACGAGTGCAGCGCCGCGGTCGGCGCGCGGCGGGGTTCTAAACTAAAGCGCTTGGCCGCCACTTGGCGGTGCTTGGCGTGCTTGGCGCTCCGCCGCGCTCCGCGGTCGTGCACTCTTGGAGCGCCATCACACTGCACTCGAGTGATAAGCCGCTGGGGACTTTAAGGCCTTACTCCGCCTTATGGACGGACTGGCGGAGTAAAGAGCGTGAATAAAAGAGTCGGCGTGGGAGCGCCCCGCCCCGCCCCGCCCCGCCCCGCCCCGCCCCGCCCCGCCCCGCCCCGCCCCGCCCCGCCCCGCCCCGCCACGCCCCGCCCCGCCACGCCCCGCCCCGACCCGCCCCGCCCCTCCCCGCCCCGCCCCACCCGCTCCACCCCGCCCCGCCCCGCCCCGCCCCACCCGCTCCACCCCGCCCCGCCCCGCCCCGCCCCGCCACGCCCCGCCCCGCCGCTGAGTACCTGGCCCTGCCGCCGCCCTGCCGTCTGCGAGCTGCGTGCCAAATATGCCCCGCGGGTCGCATAGGAATGAATTGTTCGGATCGATGCCACGGAACGGGGCCAGGCCTTCCAGGCCGGCCAGGCCGGCCGGACGCGCGCCGTCTGGAAGTCGGGAAGGGGTGCGCTCGGCTCGAAGCTCGGCTCCCAACTCGAGAAGAATGGCGTTCGTTTGAACCCCCGGCGCCCCGGGCACGCCGTCGTCGTCGTGGTGGTCGTGGCGGTCGTGGTGCGGCGCGACGTCCAGACGGAGGGGCCGGCGACGCGACGCGTCACTGTTTCGAGGAGCGCAGAATAAAACGAGCGCGCTGATTTTGGCTCGAGGCCACGGCCAATATGAAGGCGGAGGGCCGCGACGCCGAGACGCGCACAAGGCAGAAGGCAGGCCGTATAAACTTTAAAATTGAAGATTGTGCCGAAACTTTATTTCATCGTCCGAGCTACTCTGCGAACGAAAAGTTGTTGCGCGGGGTGTTGCCGTGTTGTGCGCCACGTTTCGGCGGCGACTCGGCCCGCTCCTTCATCCACGTCACGGGGCCCAGGGGCCGGCACGACGCGGACCTCTCTCATTCGGATTTAGCCTTCGGGATTCGGATTTCGGGTCAGGATGGCGATGATGGCGATACCGAAGACGACATCGCCTGCGTCGCCTGGCCATGGCCTGGCGGCCTGGCCCGTTGACGCGGGGCCAATATGGCGGCCGCACCTCTACAGCCCGAACGGCGGCCTCCTCGCTCTGTCTCTCCCGCACTCGTGGGGCGCCCCGTGTGCGAGAGAGACAGAGCGACGAATCACAGTTCGGGATCGTACGACAGTCTCCTCACCTGGCAGGCGGGCAGAGCCAGCAGTGTGCCAGCCAGGGCCGCCGCCTGCTTTTGTTTGGATCGGACGCTCTGTCACGCGGAGACTGATGGCTCCAGCATCGCCGGACTCCAGACTCCAGCGGATGGAGGCTGGCCTGGAGGCTGGGCCGCTCAGACGCCTCTCACTCTGGAAATTGTTGGCGCAAAGGAGATTAACTTGGCGCTGTGTTTACCGATCTTTTTTTCGCTCTCAGTTGCCCTCAAAGGAAAGCGGCCCGAGGATAGGAAAGAGTTGGCCGAGCGGGGCCGAGGTAGCAGTCGGCTACCTGCAGGCGGAGGAGAGCCACTGTTAAAAAATAAGAACGAAGGAGTGTGGCGGCAGTAAAAGCGGTTTCGTTTCGCGAACAAACTGCGTGGTTGGAGCGGGGATTGAACCCGATCCACGCATCTGATAAACCGGCCTCGCTACCGACTGCGCTACCCGGTGCTCGGTTTCACGGACGTCGTTGGCTGCCAGTCGCGTGTCGCGTGCCGCCACTTGCAGTGCAGGCGAGCCCGGTAAACGATACAGCGCTGTTTGCACAGGAAGCGCCCTGCGTCGCCTGCATTCTCTCTCTCTCTCTCTCTCTCTCTCTCTCTCTCTCTCTCTCTCTCTCTCTCTCTCTCTCTCTCTCTCTCTCTCTCTCTCTCCCTCTCCCTCTCCCTCCCTCCCCCTCCCTCACTCTCGCACCTGTTGGCCCTCGCCAATTAGCGGCCGCGAGCGCGGCATGCATCAAATTAGAAAGAAACAGCGAGCGGGAAAGAAAATAACCAAAACAAAAGAGCAGTAATAACAATTAAGCGGAGCAGGAATCCGAAGACCGCCGCGGAGGACCTCCGCCGACGCCCAGCCGACCGCGGTTCCATTAATTTATTCATCTCCTTTGCGCCTTCCTTTTTGAACGCGGCGCGGGGGCGGGTAGCGGGGGGGGGGGGGGGGTTACCGACTGGCCAGCGTCAGCATTCATGCCAGCCAGCCAGCCTACCAGCCGTGGCGTGAGGGTGGCCACATTCAACATACATACGCCCCGGCCACTCACACACTCACACACACATGCATGCCAAGTAGTGAATGGCTGTCGCAGGCATGCGGTGCCGAGGTAAACAAGTGCACCACTGCAGTGCTTGCCCATGTCATGTCGCTGGACC